AGTTTGCAGCCACATAATGATGCGACAAGTTAGAAGTCGACTTTGTTGAGAGGCTCAATGTCGAGAGATCTGTGAAGAGTGGGAGGGGGGGGTTAGAAATGGTAGATTTAGTGCGGTAAGGAGTGGTGAGCAGTGGCGAATTGGTTGACACATTTGTTGGAAACGAGTGCCACGGCGAAACTCCTGATCTCCACCAGATCGACCAGCGAAATTGACGATTTGCAGAGTTACGCCAACGAACTCATTGATCTGCGCAGATTGGCGGACGAAAGCGCCGATCTGCGCAGATCTGCGGGCGAAATCGCCGATCTGCACAGATCGGCGGGAGAAATCGCAGATCTGCGCCGATCGGTGGGCGAATCGCAGGTCTGCGCCGATCGGCGGACGAAAGCGCCGATCTGCACAGAGCGAGGGCAAAATCGGGTTTCCTGACCCGACCCGACCTCGGGTCGGGCCGAGCCGAAGTCGGGTCAGGAAAGACCCGCCCTGTACCTCCTGGGTCGGGTCAGGGTAGGGATGAGCAAGGTGGCGAACACCTGTTCGGTTCGCCTCGAACGTGTTCGAGGCGAACCGAACAGGTTTTGTTTTTTAGCTCAAATCGTTTGCCGAATAGTGTTCGATGTTCGCCCGAACACGTTCGTGTTTGGGCCGCTGCTGAAATTTGCCCGCGACGAATAAGAACAGTGTTCGAGGTTCGCCCGAACACGCCTCCACAGGCGAACAGCGAACACCTGTTTTTTCCTAAACTGTTCGCCGAACCGAACAGTGTTCGGTTCGGCAAAAGATGGTGTTCGACAAGGGGCGAAGACAAACATGTTCGTGTTCGCCCTTTGCTCATCCCTAGGTCAGGGTATTCAACATCCTGGCCCGAGGCTGGCCCGACCCGACCCGGCCCGGGAACCTGCTTGGCCCGGCCAAGTCGGGTCGGGTTGGGCCAAATGCTCAACTCTAGGAAAGAATGATACACAATAGTTAAAAAATTCAGACCGCAGGTTGCAATCCCTCTGTGCGAACTCAGATTTGAATTGCAATACTCAAATTCACTTTTCCCACGTCGCAAAATTAACTCCTTCTGTTTTTGTTTTTATAAAATTTCCGGTCGGCCCCGTGCGGATCTCAGTGTTTTTTCAAAATCGCAGCATACGGCTTTTTATGCGTATTTACTCTATACGAAACTACATTTTAGCCTTTTTTCTAACAACATATGGGGGTGACGTGATAAATACAAACATGCATGCATTGAAAGAATGGGTAGTGACTCAATGAAGTTTGGTGCTTAAAAGATTCTGCTTGCTTCGGTGCGGCCAGTTCCATTTTCCAAGACATTCTCACTGCCTTCTCCTTACTGCCCTGCTTTCAAAATCCATTTTCCTCAGTTAAAGTCACCAGCATTCCTCTCCTCATACTAGTGCATGATCCTTGAGACACGTCTTGATGAAAAAAAGCTTCCGTCCTTTGTTTGACACAGGTCAGTGCCCATGGTAAAACCCCACCTACTGGTCTGGTTCTTCCTTGCATTCGTACGCAATGGCAGGTCCCTCAGAAGTAATCAGCTCACCGGTTCAATCCCTGTGGAACTTGGCTCTCTACTATCTCTCTCATCCCTGTAAGGCTCCTTTCTGCCTCTTTATTGACACAATAGTAAATGTACAATGTATACAAGGCAAATCGAGACACCTAGTGCATGGAAAGACATGCAGGCTAATCCTATTGTGAGACCTACAAATAGGCCTCTGAGATGTCTCAGTGGTCCTCTCCAAAGTAAGGCTCCTTTCTGCCACATGACCATAAGTCTGGCCCGATCTGGCTCGTTTTGAGCCGTGACAAGCGGGCAGGCTGACAAGTCAAGCTGGAGACTCCGCTCGACGACCGTGCTGGCAGCTGCCTGTGCCTCGTCCGTCGTAGCAAGCTGGTCGAGCCAGGATTTTCCACGAGCAATCTCACAAATCCGTGTTGGCACCTACCCGCCAGATCCGAGTGGACCAGGTAATAGTTGCGTGTCTGCAGGACTGACAAAATGGATCGGTGAACTTAGGGCACGATAGGAAGAAGAATTGTGCTGAGTAAGAAAAAAGGTACAACAAGTCTTAAGACTAGAGCAAGGTCCTTGTCCAAGGATGGTATCTAGTGAAATGGGAAGCCACATATATGTGGCTAAACTCTTGAGGCTAGTTGCAGCACCTCAATGCTGAGGGCAAGGCTAGCCAACCTTGCCAAGCTAGCAAGTGAGACCACATGTTGCACAAAGGGATGAGCAAATGGCGAACTCGAACACGTTTGGGTTCAAGTTCGCTCGAACATCAATTTTTTCCCGAACCGAACACAGTCCGGTTCGGCGAACAACTTAGGGTTCTAGAGCTGTTCGCCGTTCGCCCTTGGGGGCGAACATTTGGTATGTGTGGCCACTTTCATTATAGTCACAATATAGAAACACGGAATCTGGAGGGTTGGGAAGATAGATAGGGGGGTGGATGGAGGGTGTATATATAATCATGCAATGCACACTAGCATACGACACCATCATGTAGTGCCTATATAAAAGTCACTGCCAAAATTACATCCTATGCCTGCACACCACTGCTACTACCAACAACAGCATGCTCCGCGTCAGAGGTGTCGCCAGCACCCACCCCCACCTGCTCCTCCTCCCCCTCCTCCTCCCACTCGTCGTCCTCCTCCTCCCCCTCGCCTTCAATGGCGAACTCTGGTGGTGCCTCGCCTTTTGCACGGTGGCCCTCGCCTTTTGCACGGCGGCCCTCGCCTATCCTCTGTCCAGGGTGTGAGGTGTACCATGATCTGAGAATCATGGAAGCTCGCGTCCTCTGAGAGGCTAGGTGGTGCCGCTTCCAGGATATGAGGTTGCGGCCGAGGGAGAACACGCGCTCGCTCGACGCGGACGTGGCAGGGATGGCAAGATAATCCCGGGCCATGCGCCTCAGCGTCTGCATGTTGGTGGCGCTGCGCCAATACTCCAACGCTGACATGTCGCACCGCACCCTCTCTGACAAGTACCTGCCAACCTCGTCATCCTGCACCATCCCACCCCTCCCCGCCTCCTGGCTCGCCGACAGACGCGCCGCAAGGCGTCGGCGACTAGGGAGAAACTCGGCGTCTTCGTCGTCATCCGCCGCGTCTCCCTCCTCCTCCTCCGTCACTGGGGCAAGTGGGGTCGGTTGAGGGGCAATCACTGCAGCCCGGGCCTGGTACTCGGCCACGTGTTTGCGAACCACCTGGATCACCTCGCCTGACGAGGGATGAGGCCTCGCCCTCCGCTCTGTATCGGGATGCAGCGTCTCCCAGTGCGCGTCGTCGAACCATGCCGCCTTCATGGAAGGGTCCAGGAAGGTGGCGATCCACAACTCGTTGCTTAACATCAATTCATACTTCTTCAAGAGACCCAGCGCCGCCTCAATCATCGGCTTCAGCATAGCCGATGGCCCCTTGGCAAGGCGCGACTCCATAGCGTCGATCAGGCCGTTGTAGTACGGCAGAACCATCGACACTGTAGGGTACGCCGCTCCCTCTGCGGCCTTGGAGACTTTGGCGAATGGGCTGAGGAAGGTCTTGACAGAATGCAGAGTCTCCCAGTCTGCGTCCGTCAGGCGCAAGGTGTCCATCTTCGCCTTGTCAGCCTTCGACACGCCCTGTCGGGTAGAACGTATGGGTGGGCGGGTGATAGGATGGAAAGTGGGGTGGTTGAGGTTGTTGGAGGTCCGAAAAGTTTAGTCAAGCATGGCCAACAGTGGTGCAAGTCCCAGAAGAAAACACCCCGACCGACATACCACCACATAAAACAGCATACACAACACCTGACACACACACACACACCTGTGTCTGGGCAAAGAAGACAGAGATGGGTTCCTGCAGAACCCCGGCTCGCTCGACCATGTCGTGGGTCGACCCCCAGCGTGTGGGACTGTCCTGCACCAGCCAAGGTGGAAAAAAGCGGTTGCGGTAAAAAACGATTGAAAAGAACGATCGTTTTTTACGGTCAAGTTTGGGAAAAAAACGTCGCTTTTTTGTTAGGCCCAAAAAAAAATTCAAAAAAAAAAAACCTTGCAAATCCCCAGCCACCAACACTCTCTGGCAAGTCAGTGCTGATAAGTTTTCTAGCCTGACCGCAATTAAAATAAGTTTTCACATCGCAACCAACCCTAGCATGACGAATTGATGCGTGCGTCAACTACCTGCGGTTCGAGGAACAAACGGAAGCAATTTGGGTGTACAACTTGGCACGTCGCGTCGCAAGTCTTGACATTCGTGTTTCGCACTCGCACATGCACGAATTCATTTTTAAGGGTGCACGAAGTGGCCTCGAGGCTTTGCGAAATCAGCAAGAGCAGGGAGGCGAAGTGTTGGCATGCTGCGCCTCGAAGGTGGGTCTAAATTTCTGACCCACGATTCCTCTCTGTACTGGGTGGATTCACTTCAACCCACATGCCTGTGCTCCCTCATGAATCCTCCCGCTACCTCTCCCCTTGTGTTGCTCATGTAACCCATAGAGTGAAACCCTTCACTGCGAGTTGTGCGTTATCCGGAGATAATTGTAACTGTAAATTGTGGTACAAAATCTACGATTGTAAAAAACGATCGTTTTTTTCCACCAAAAAAGGACTCATCAATATTCTCGTTTTATTCCGTTTTATACGATCGAAAATTACGATATCGAAAAAAACGACAAAAAAATGAAAAAAAACGTCGCTTTTTTGCACCTTGGCACCAGCTTCAATGCTGGCTTCGGTTTGGCGGGGTTGCCCTGCGCGTTCAGAGTCCGCTGAAGGCCCAAGAACTTCCCCGAGCGCTGTGGCGAGTAGCCTATCCACGACGCCATCTCTCTTAGAATCTTCAGCAACTTGCGGATGGCGGTCACAGCGAGTGCTGCCTTCACTGCAAGGTTGATCATGTGTGCCAGGCATCTGCGCACATCACAAAACATTCATGGCGGAGAGAAAGGGAAGTGTGAGTACACATTGGCATAGATCCAAAATACACTACCACTCTCAAGCCGCATAGGCCCACCCGCCTGTACTACAACCACAACATGTTCACATCACAGGAACGACGCACCCAGACTCCCTCATTGCACATCCCACGCACACTCCCTTTCGTACCGGAAGTGCATGCCGAGTTGAAGAAGCACTGGCCACCACCCTCCTCCGACATCCACCTGAAAGCGGCAGTGTTGCTGGAGGCGTTGTCAGAGGTGAACCCAAGACAACGCGTCTCCAACCCCCACTGCACCATCGTCTCCTCAACCACCCTCGCCATCTGCTTGCCCGTGTGACGCCCGTGAATCTCGCGGAATTCAAACACCATTGTGCGCAGCTGGTAATTCTCGTCGATCCAGTGACCCGTTACCACTAGCCACGCCCTGTTGTTGGGCGACGTCCACATGTCGATGGTGAACGACACCCTGCACCCCAGCCCCCCCTCCTTCGCCAGCATCTCCGCGATGGCTGACTGAAGAGCGGCAGCCGCATAGACCACTGTGTCGCGGGAAACCGTCCAGCGCGAAGGGATGAAGTTTTTCTGCGCGCAGTTGCGGTTTAACAGAATGAGTAGCTCACGAAACTGGAGAGGGGAAGAGACAAGGGGGGGGGGAGGGGAGTACACGTCAAGGGGATGGGATGAAAATAATATAGCACTGCACTGGGCCACACGTAAACAGTCAAAACACAAAGGGACAGATACGTCCACTAACCACATACTTGCCCAATCATGCATGGGATGGGATGGGGCACTTACAGCCTCGGCCTCGACGATGCGGAAGGGGAGGTCGCAGGTGACCACCAGCTTCGTGATCGCCTGTCGTAGCTGCACCGAGGTTAGTTTGGTTGTCATCCACCGCTCGATCCCTCCTGACCCATCACCTCCACCAGTCGCCATCGCTTTCCCCTTGGCGAGCTGCGGCCAAGTCTTGGCATGTGGCCACTGATAGACGTAGCCATCCGGCACTCCCTTGTAGCCCCCTCGGGGAAACGTCTCCCCTGGCAAGTGAACGAACGGGGTGTGGTAACGGTGATGCCACACATGCATGTGCGCAGTGTGGAAGCTCGCAAAGTGCCGCTCGCCCGGGGTTGTTGTGGATTGCTTCCACGAAATCCTGTCTGTGCAAATCTTGCACTGACGCTTATCGTCTGCCCCTAACGGTCCGAACATCATAACTTGCCAACCCCGCTTCCTATTACCCTTGCCAGTCCCCTTACTACTCTCGGACCCTCCGTCCTCGTCTAGAAACTCGGGAGCGATCACACCCTCGCCCAAGGGCTCCCCAGTGAACGTGCAGGGATACGCCCGCTCTCTCAACTTGTTCGCTTTCTTCCTCTGCCTCGGCTCCCTAATGGTCACGGCCTTTCCCCCCCCCACCTTAACCCCCACGCTCCCTCCCCCTTCACGCACATGCTGTGATCCCGCCTCTGTCGCCGCCCTTCCACCACCCTCTCCCACCTCCTCCTCCCGCCCCTCTGGCTCCAACCCATCCATCTCGTGGTCTTCATCATCATCATCTCCCCCCTCCCCACCGCCATGCGTATCTGGGTCCCACGCCGCCTCGCTGTCATCCCCGCTCCCCTCAGTGTCCTCCTCCTTCTCGCCCTCACCATCCTCCTCCTCATTCTTCTCCTCACTGCCGCTCTCCGGCTGCGTCGGCGTCTGCCTCGAAGGAGGGGGCCGAGGGCCGTCGTAACGGAAAGAGCGACGAGAGCTCGGCGCCGGTACAGTAAGCAACCCCCCAACGAAGATCGCGCCGGCTCCACCCGGTCCATCCCCTACTCGCCCCTGCAAAGGTCGTGATGGAGATCCCGGTGCGCTGCCCTGAGCCCTGCCTGCACCTCGGCCTATGGATCCACCACCCCTGGAAGCCATAACTCCGCCCTCGACCCTAAACCCTAAAATCCCCTAAGGCAACGTTAGCGTTGGATGGTGCCGCACGTTCCTAATGCCCGATCCGAATCCTACGGCAAAGGATACGCCCTACTTGAGCCCTTTGCGGAGATGCTCGTTGAACCTTAATAGTAACCCTAAACTCCCTACACTACGTTAAACCCTATGCATAGATCTATCTATGTAATGTTCGTTTACACTCCAAGTATTAACGTGCACTTGCTTGCACCTAGAACAAGGAGGCTAGGGCGGCTGTGTGAGGGAACGCTTAAGCCTAAACAACTCCTGAGTTTGAGCTCACGAAATGAGCTCAAACAAAAATTGGCCGCGACCTAAATCTGGTCGCGGCCAATCTTGACGCGAACACTTTTGGTGTTCGCGTCGAATCCCAGCCGAACACGAACATGTTCGTGTTCGGCTTGGAGAGGCGAAATCCAAAGCCGAACGTCGAACATGTTCGGCCGAACACTGAACATGTTCGGCCCGAACAATTTAGCAAAAAAAAAAAGCCGTTCGAGGCGAACCGAACAAGCGTTCGGGATCTTGCTCATCCCTAGTTGCACATGTGGGCCAGGCTGGAACAACAGCCCACATGACAGCATATGACACACCATAGAGGCTAGCAAGGTGAGTGTGGGATGAGTGGACAGGTGCCAATGCCAACTGTGACCACACGCACTGTGGTGGAGAGTGGTGGAGTGTGGACATGTAATGTGGAGCATAATGAGAAGGAAAGTGTAGCTACTGAGAATTGAACTCAAAACCTCTAAGACCAAAGGTGAGAATTCACCCTCTGGGACATACTTGCTGCACAACATGGACAACCAGTGAAGGCTCGGCGATGATCTGACTGACCTACTCATCGAGCTGGGTCTTGACGACCTAGCGGCCGAGCCAGCGGAGCAGGATTCTTCGCTCAGCTCGCCCTGCGGATGAGCCGATCCGACAAGCTAATCCGTCAGCTCAAACCTATGGTAATGTGTACTCCCTACCAAGGATCAAAATTATGGCTAGCGTATTATACGGTCCGTATAATACGGTCGTTTTTTATGGCAAGAAATTCAAAAATATGCCATATTTTTGATAGACTGTTTTTCTGGTTTTTCTTCACCAGCCTATCTCGTCTCGTCCGTCTCCAAGGGACGACCATCTTCTTTTACTATTCACCCTTTGTTTGGTCTTCCCCAACCTCATTGCTGTCCCGCCTCTCTTCTGTCTTGTCTTCTCTGATATCCCGAGTCTAAGTTGCAGAAGACACAGGGAGCGTCCTGCGTCTAGCGTCTAGACGCTATAACCTCAGTGATACTTAAATTTTTGGCATTCTTTTTCCACTCAGAGATGTTTTGAAGCAACCAACTGTCTGGCAGCATTCCCGCTACCATCAGCACACTCACCCAAGTTTCTCGCCTGTCAGTTGCCCTCTTGTCTAGTGCTGTCAATTTCCTCTCACAGGAGAGCTTTTCTCATGATGAGCGCGAGCTAAGAACACAAGGGGTTGACTTTGATACATACGTGTGTCCATGCAATGAAGTCATTCGTGGAGTGCCCCCTTTTTCCATTGTTTTGAATGGATGGGTTGCTGTACTTCAAATGTGGTGCTCAGTTGAATTCTCCTTACTTTGGTTAGCCCCACGATCTCTCTGTTCTTCTTACTGCCCTAGTTTCATGAAACATTTTCCTTCAAAAAGCCCACCAGCAGCATCCCACTTCGCATACTGGTGCATCATCGTCCTAGAGTGCTGGTCTGGTTCTTCCTTCTTGCATTCGTACGCAATGGCAGGTCCCTCGGGAGTAATCAGCTCACGGGTTCAATTCCTGTGGAGATTGGCTCTCTACTATCTCTGGCATCCCTGTAAGGCTCCTTTCTGCCACACGAGCATAAGACTGGGCTAAGCTGGCTCGTTTTTGGGCCATGGAAAGCCGGTGGGCTGACAAGCCAAGCCGGAGTCTCCACTCGACGGGCCGGGCTGACTCGGCCCGTGGCTCGTCCGTCGTAGCAAGCCTTTGATAATGTGTGATCCCTCCCCCCCAACCTACTATCTCGTCTCTCTCGAATTGGTCACCTTTTTGACCTCTACATTTCCTTCTCGTCACTGGCCCCATTCCCTTCCCTATCGTGTCCTGCAAACACACCAATGAACTCATATTTTCTTTCCGTGCGTCCACCCGCCACATCATCACCACAGCTCTCTCAACTCCAACTTGCTCTCAGGATCTTTGCCCTCTGCAATCACAAAGCTCACTGCTCTTACTTTCCTGTAAATAATCCATTGTATTGTTTTTCTTTGTCAGAAACCTTCGCAGAGTGTGCAACAAAAGCTATTGTAGTAGCACAAGTTAGGTACGATCAAGGGCTGAGCCAGGGCAGGGCCGGCACAAATCAAGGTGGGCAGCTTTCCAAAGACAGTGATTCTCTGTGTTTGAACCACGCAAGGATCAAAATTAGGGCTACCGTATTATACGGTCCGTATAATACGGTCGTTTTTTACGGCAAGAAATTCAAAAATACGACGTATTTTTGATAGACTGTTTTTTTTTTTTTTTTTTTTTTTTTTCCCGTAGCAATGCTCTGAAAGGTACACACTACATTAGCATAGCATAACAACAGAACAGATGGTTTCAACACTACTCGACCATTCCCACTACTACTGTACCGTCCACTACTCTTTACTTTACACCTCCTACCCTATCGTATCCTTCTCTATCTCTCTCTGCTCCTCCAACTTGTAACCTTCTCTCTTCTCTACTCATCCTCCTCCTCCTCCTCATCCTCATCCGCCTCCTCCTCTTCCTCCCCACTAGACCCGTCACTAATGTCCCAAGGATCCGCGCCATTTCGAGCCTTGGTGGGCACGTCCTCCTCCTCCCCTCCACTGCTATCCGCCGCCTCCTCCTCCTCACCCTCTTCCTCTCGCACGGATGTTGCCTTCCTCTTTCTCTTGGTAGGCTTCTTGGCCTTCCCGTTTCTCTTCCTTTTAGCGGTCTTTGGCCCCTTCTTCTTCCGCTTCCCAATGTTCCCGAATAGGTCCCAATCAATGGTGCATAGCTGCTCATTCCCCTCTCCCTCCTCCTCGTCGTCCCCCACTTCCTCTTCCTCTGCTGCTGCCGGTTCCACGGCACTCCCTTGCTGGAGGGTGCCGTTGGCCAGATCGGCATAAAGCTTCTCCCTCTGGCGTGATTTCCTATCGAAAGCATCCCTGGCCCTCCTGGCGAACGCCACCTCAGTCACGTCCATCATCTTGTTGGCACTGAGGCGGTTACGGTCCCGCCTCTGCACCCGTGCAATGGCGGACCAGTAGCGTTCGACCTCAGAAGACGTGACTGGCTGTGACAGCACCGTCACAGCCATCCCCATGAGCGCTCGCAATTCCCCCCCATACATCAGCCACCACTCTGCCTCCGTCAAGCGCCCACTCGCCACCAACACCGTTGCTGCCCAACGGGCATCATCGGACCCTATAAGCCCCTCTCCTTTATGAAACTGCGTCAACTGCACCAACAGCAGCGTGCGTTGTGCGACGTCTCCCCCACGGGCCTGGATCACCGCTTCCGCCCCAAGCCTTACCTCGGGATCGTTCTTCACCTCTTTGCCGTACTGATTGTGCGGGTTCAGAAGCCACCCCATAGCATGGAGTGGATTGTGGAGCTGGGAGTCCCACCTCCTTGCTATGATAGCCTTGATGGCGGCCAGAAAGGCCGGCTTGTCTTTGGCCGGCAAGAGAGCGGTGCGTTTCAGCATCATTTTGGCTGCCCAGTGGGGAGAACCGGAGAGCACGAGGTGAGCACAATTGGCGGGAAGGGTATACAATAGCCAGAACGTGCGGCAATTCACAGCTTACCTGCCACCTCTGCCGCATTGTTTGTCTTCACCGTGGCATCTAGCATGAGGCCATAGATCTGGACCATGACTAGAGCACGGGTGTCAACCACCCGCAGCACTTCATACACGGGTGTCATGAGGCGGAGGACCGCTGTCGCGCACTCCCAAAAGACCTCATCCAAGAGGAGGTGGCGGACAGCTCGCCCCTCCTCAGACTGCGCCACCGCCACCAACTCCCACTCCTCACTGATGATCATCTCCTTGAGCGCTTTCTTTACTTCCAGGAAGCGGGCAAGCATGATAACTTGCGTGCCGAAGCGTGTTGCACCGGGCCGCACCAAGGACAAAGTGCTAAACAACTCGTGGAAGAGCGTGACGGCAGACGCGCTTCCCTTGACGATCATAACCACCCTGTGCACCTGGTTGAGCACTCGCCGCACAGCACGGACCCTCCCGATGTCGTGGAGCATCAGGTCCAGGACGTGCGCCGCACAGTTGTTGAAAAACACTGCAGGAAAACCGTCCTGGAGGATGTCGGCCGCCCTACGGTTGTTGGACGCATTGTCCATGACCACCTGCACCACCTTCTTGCCTCCAACCTCGGCGATTGAGGTCCGGATGAGGCCGGCCAAGTACTCCCCCGTCTTCTTCGCGGTCTTGGAGTCCACGGTCTTCACGATGACAGGCGCCGTGTCATTGTGGGCTATGACACACACGAGCCCACGGCTCTTCATGCAGGTCCAGCCGTCCACGGAGATGGTGCAGCCGCTAGTGTTCCAACTCTCCTTCAGGGGCCTTACAAGGTCCTCGGTATCCGCTACCAGTTTTTGAAGGAAAACACCAGAAACCCTTAAGGGGGATGGGAGGGTGTATTGTTTCTCGAAGGCAACAGCCGCATCCACGAAGTTCTGCACGGCTGGCGACTTGGACGTGTGGAACGCCCAATAGTTATCAGCCACTGCAGCGGCCCATAGGTAGTCCAGTCGAGCGCGTGCAGAGTGATCCACCATGTCGCGGATGTCCCGCTGTCGAGTGCGGCGAGAGGGCTGGATGTCTAGGGTTGAAGTGGAGCCAAGGATTGACGGAGTGGTGCTTCCAGAAAGCTCATTAGCAGCTGCTTCCTCGCGAAGTTTGATGGCGACTTCGTGGGTGCACGGCGTCA